TGCATATCATGAAAAGAAGAGAGGGTAGAAGAGATGAGAGATAGTTTGAAGGTACCTGATTAGCTCCGCATAGCTTGGAGTTGAGCCTTAGAGATTTCTGAGGGCAATCTATATGGTTCCATAATTTTAAAGCATTTGTGCGAGATAGGTTTGAAAAAAAAAAAGAAAAAAGTGCTTTTATATGTCATATAATTGTAAATGTAATGGGTGTCTTGAGAGGTCTTTTATCTTGATGTGGTTTAGTGGAGCTTGTGAAATAAATAGTACTTTATGTGTTTTGATAGAAAACATCTGCAAAATGAAAAGTAGAGGCCGAGGGATTCACATTTTGCTTGAGTAGCATCAGGTGCTTATGAATTTTATAAAGTAGGTAAACAGTTTCATATAAATACTTAAGGGATATTTGCAGGTGGTAGCAGCGAGTAACTTTGAAACGCAGAGCTGCGAGAAGACTGCGTCAACTGTGGTACTAACCTGCAGCGACCAGCTCTCCTCATCCAGCGGACTTTTTTGCATTGTCAATCCGACAAACAACAGTAGGGTCCAGTGCAGCTGGAAGAACGCCAAAGATGGCGAGAAAAGCATGCAGCCTATTGGGTATCGGATCGTTCTAAGTGGATCATCTAACGAAGAAAATAAGATTGTGATCACTTCACCGCAAACGACTACTGCGCAATTCGACAATTTGCTGCCAGGTCACGAGTACCATGTCTACGTACAGGCAATCACGAGCTCAGGCCTCGGTAACACGTTGTCCACCGCATTCAGGATATCCTCAGGCAAGTTGAATCGATCGGACTCATTCTACGAAAATCGTGGTTCACGTCGAGATCATGGTTTATCACGTATAACGAGCATGATTACGGATCGAAATGCCGCTGTTCAATCGGCATCTGGACGTGAAAGGTCGGATGGCTCGTTATACAACAATGAAAGGTTGCCAGGTTTGACGGTGCTGGAGTTGCCTCTCGAAAGCGCTGCTTCCAGCGTTGTTAGGTGGATGGCCTCATACTGTGTTGGTGTTATTATTGTATTTAGGCATTTCTTTGTTGATTGTTTGTTGTAAATCTAATAATGATCCGCTTATCATTGAGGATGATGTTATTGATCGG